TGCCGCTGCGAGATTGCGCCGCAAACAATGGGGACTTTATGCTGTCGTTCCAATCGAGGCGTTGTGATATGAAGTACCTAGGTGTGCAGTGGTGAAAATTAATTTATTATCTCCATTATATTATTCCCGAAAGACACCTCATTTGTCTCTCTTTGTGTATTGTTGTGATCCATCACATTGGTTCGAATGACTTCACATCATATGCCACTTGCCGCTGAATCTGACTGTTTCGCTATATTTGAATACACAAACCGTGTGACAATTCAACTGTTTTTATCTCGAAACCGTATTCGACTGAATGTTGATATGTACGATGTCTGTAACAAAATCAAAAGAATCATTTTTTTTAAATTTTATTTATGATTCATATTTAATATCGTGGTAATATATCTGAATGTCTGTCATCTTGAGCCAAACTGAATGGGGAAGTAGACTTATGGCACTTGAACGGGATTCAAATAAATAAACTACTAAAGTCTCCCAATAAAGCACTCTCATAATGTCGCTGCAGTGTCTCTTTAAAGTATATTGCTTGACCAAAGGAAAAAAAAAAAAGGCTGGAGATTTACTCGGCCAGATTTGGACTCCTCCATAACATTTCCATAGCTCACTTTTGACCTTTAATATTTTGACAGCAGATTGCATTGAGACGATGAGACAAAGCGAATAGGATTTAATTCATAAGAAGGCTTTGTCTTTCACATGCTTCAATCCTGGGTAGGGCCAAAAACTGCCATATTTCTTCAAATATTTCCCCAACTACAGAGCGTACCAGGGTTTATACGTTGAGCTGAAGCTTGCAAAGTTGGACGCAACCCAAAAGGAGCATGTTCGAGGTACTTGCAGAACCATTGCGGTAATTCAAACGCGATCTGTACTGTGATTTGCTTACCTGGCTTAACACTTGCGGCATAGCTTTCAGACCATGCTGAAATGTATTTTGCTGGCCAAGTCTAGCTTGAACTTTTCTCATAAGTGGTAAGCAACTCACAGGCTATGCTTTGAGGTGCTTTTCAAAGAATTACGCTGATTAAAATGTGAGCCGCACGGTAATATGCCCCCTCGGTGTGCACTTGTTGCTTGGCTGTGAGACCATGTTTTATTTTGCTTGTTATCCAGGCTTGAGATTTCGACCAGCAGTGCTACCCAAGACTTGAAAAGAGTCTTTCATGTGTAAGAACATCAACATCTTTTACTCGCCATAATAAACTATCTGCCAACAGGCTATAAACCCTCCACTCGCACCTGAGCTTCTCGTTTGCGCCCCCATCTTAAGTGCTCGGTGGTCTCCCCACTGGTCCCTTTGAGTGTCTGATAGCCCCGCAGGCACTTTGAAGCACTTCATGTGTGTACTTAACATAGCAGAGCCCTATCTGTTAAAGAGAGACATAAGTAAGTGGCATTGTATCAGGATCAGTATTCTGTGCATGTGTTATGCTTTTTCTTTTTGGCCTTAATGATGCAACCACAGACTGGGTACCAATGCTGGCCAAGAGAAGGATGACGATGACAATAAAATGATAGTGTCGCTTATTGTAATGTAGAAGCAGCCTAACATACATGAACAGCAATATGTGCATGTGGATTTTCTTTTTCTTTAGCTTTTTTTGTGATGCACCCTTGGAAAAAATGAAAAGTTGAGCATGTAACAACAGACACACTATGGGAAGTAACTTATTGCAGTAGTGGAGCATCAGTAGCCGTACTATGTGCTTGTGCTATGCTTATTCTCTTTTTTGTGACACCACTACATTGAGGTCAATTTGATAACCACAGAGGCAGACATTTTACGTATTGTAAAATAGTCATACTGTAGCAACCGAAGCGGTACTGTGTACTTGTTTTGCTTTTTCTTTGGCTTTTCTGCGATGCCATCACAGACCAGATAAAATAGGATGACAACCGCTCTGGCAAAACTTAATCCTGAACAACCATTCGCCACGCGGCATTAAAACTCTACAGACGGCTGGCATTAAGCCTCGGTGATGACAATGTGTAATTGTTCAATTTGCATCAGCCAGCGCAGTAAACAATAGAGATGTTTTCGTGGAGGGATTACCGAAGACAGGAGGAAAGAGGGGAAAAAAAAAAGCACAGGTGGGATGTTATTAGCATAACAATGCAGGGTTGGTGTACCCGCCTGCTGTTCACTTGTGTCTAGCATGCTCTTTTACCACAGGGATGAATGATGGTCGTCTCATGTGTGATGTTCACCTTCATTTGGTGGAGACATGACTCATGTGCTGGAGTCAATGGAAGGATGAGGTCACATTGTAAAGCACCACCAATACTGTTAAGATAACAGCTGTTATGTGTTACGTTTCATATGAAGTTTCACTTTTCAGAGCTACAGTATATACACGGTGGGCCAAACATAAATATACAATAAATGAATTAAATAATTTTGGGGGATGGGGGGGTAGCAAATGAATTGAGTGAGGAAAAAATAAGGTAGAGTCTAGCCCAGCACTGGAAAGGCAGTGAAGGAAGGAAGGAAGGCAGAAAGTGTCAAGCAAAGAAAGGATGAGTAGAACACTCAGCCCAGTCTGTTTGAACCTTGTTTGTTGTTATCATTATTTTTTAAGTACTGCATTGTCTTTACTACACTTTAATATTATTCGATATTCAATTGCCTGATTTTATGGTTCTCATTTTTTTTCAGCGTGGGCATCGCTGCTCCACTTATTTAGTGGCATGACAAAAAAGCCAAAGAAAAAGCAAAACATACACACATTGTACCGTATTGGCCCGAAGATAAGACGGCCCTGATTATAAGACGACCCCCTCTTTTTCAAGACTCAAGTTTGAAAAAAGGCTTTTTGAACACCAAATTAATTTTTATCCAGAAAATAATTACAGTACATCTGAAACAAATGATTATAACATAACATATTTGAGAGAAAAAGCATGTTATTTTGCCTCATTCCAATCTAAGGTTCAATCACATTCGTAAATGAATGGCTTCTGGTTTTTGAAATGTAAATTACATTATAACTTCTCCTCAGCTGCCGGTTAACCTGGCCGATCTTCGACCCACTTTTTTCCAGATTGTCGCTACGTTTCTCCATTTTCTGTTATCTATTCTATTATTTTCTTCTCATTTCTTTCTTACCGCTATTTTTTATTTTTCTTCTTCGTGCTACCGCTATTTTTATTTTTATTCTTCGTGGCAGGGGTTCACTTTGGCCTGGGGAGTCAAGTTCAGCATTCGCTTCAATGATATCTGGCGCCATCTAGCGTCGCAAATGGGTATAATGTCTAGACCCGACTATAAGACGACCTCCACTTTTTCAGTCTTATTTCAATGCAAAAAACACTGTCTTATATTCGGGCCAATACGGTACTGCTTCCATTGCTATGCTACCCTTATGTCAGGATGCTAAACTATGACCGTTTTTGAGGAGAAGGGGGATTCCTTTCCTGATCATCAGGCACTAACTGTGATGCAGTTTGTTAGTAAGCAGAGTGGCCCCCTTGCATGAACTAAAAAAAAAAAAAAAAAAAAAAAAACAACTCCCCTGTAAATACACTTTATTTCGAGCGTCTCCACTGAGCTGTGCGCTGTGAAAGCATATGGCTGCACATGACACAAACCCACATCTCCTGCCAAAGCCAGGTACACAAACAAACCCTAGGGATGAAGTTTTCCGGACTTAACTTTTGGGATGAAAGCCGCTGGTGCAACTTTGGAGAGGGATCCAAACGTAGAGCTTTTTGGAGCTGGCAATATGATGACGCTCCAAATAGCAGATTCTGATTCAGATGAATACAGCAGCAAAAAAAGAATGCAATTGGATGGACATCAGAACAGCACACGCGAGAAGTCTCAAGGTCCCAAGCCATCAAAGAATTTATGAAGTCTTCAATTAGACCTAACATAATTATGCGAGATTGTAAACACAGCATCAAAGAACACGTTAGTCTTCAATTACCGCATATATGCTCCAAAGCAGACCCTGCTGACCCACAGCTCCAGAGGCCGCATGCGGCCCCTTGCCAGATTTCATGCGGCTTTTGAAGCTCTTTTCACAATGCGCTTAGCAGGGCGTAGCGTGTCATTGTCAACCCCATTTATTGCGTATGAGGTGTGGGGCGGGCATCACACAATGGAGCATGTACGTTATACATTGGGAAGCATATGGTTAGTTGTCATACAACCTGATCTTGTTTTATAAAGTTGGTGTGATTCCCACCTGCTGCAAACCAAGAAAACAGACATTTAATGAGCGACATGTTGAAATATTAAACAATGGGCAATTTGTGCATTTCTCTCAGGAAACCATGCATCACTTTGACAGGTTTTGAGTGTGCCTGCTACATAAAAAAAAAAGTGTTTTGGGCTTCCAAGTGTACCTGCTGAAGAGCTTACACCCTGTAACGTACTGTAGCTGACAAGAAATAATTGTGCACTTGTCAGCTCTTTGCTGTGGTGTAAATATCAAGACTCCAAATTGCAGTCTTATGTGTGTCACCGACAGAAAAAGTGCCATATTCATTTTACTTTCAATCAGACACCACCTTAAATGATGAAAAACACATTCAACCCCCCCCCCCCACCGCTCCCCCAGTCCCATTTTAGTCACTTCCCCAACAGTTTTCTATCATCAACACAAATCTCCTGGTGAAAATGCATTTTATGGGTCTCAAACGTAACCAATCCAACAGGAAATTCTGTGAACATGTCTGTTGTAACGGGGTCGCATGGAAAACTCTCAAAGACCCGTGCCTTCAATATCTTACATATATATTTTTGTAAACATCAAAGAGAGTGGAAAGTCTTCAGTGAACCTAACTGTGCGCACGTTTGTAATCACTAAAGCCTATTTAGTCTTCAGTGAACCCAACAAACATGGTTCTATAACCATTAAAGACAACTTAGAGTCTTCAGCTGACCTAAGGTCTACAAGACACATTTGTAAATATCAAAGAGGGTACAGAGGCTTCAAGAAGCTCGAAACACTTTCCAAAAAGAATAACATCAGTGTTGCTCTTTGGTCCAGATCCCACAGGTGAGCTACGCCTCCACGGCTCCGGAACTGAGTGACAACACTCGCTACGACTTTTTCTCCCGGGTGGTGCCGCCGGACACGTACCAAGCTCAGGCCATGGTGGACATCGTCAAAGCCATGCGCTGGAACTACGTCTCCACTGTGGCCTCAGAGGGCAACTACGGCGAGAGCGGAGTCGAGGCGTTCATCCAGAAGTCTCGGGAGGACGGTGAGTCAGTTGAATCTATGTGTGTGGGGCGGAGGGGGGTGGGGGGTGTGAGCACTAAAGGTGGCGTGGCAAATTTTCCTCTTCATCAGTTCACCTGAGTGAACATATTGTACTGTGCTGCAGAAAATTGCCCAGGCACAAATTAATTAGTTCCAGACCATGGGAAATGTTGAAAGTGCTTTGACAGAATCTCTGGGAAGACTTCACGGTGCTTTCAAAATTACCGGTAAGGCTTCATATATGTGGCATGTAAATGGGTTAGAGGTGTCAAACACACTCTGCTAGCCATTCATTAGTGTGGACAGCTGACTTTTGGCAAGACAAGCATGGGTACACCGTGGACTGGTCACCAGCCAATCACAAGAATCAGAGACAAATGATTAACATTAATATTCACATCAGGACAATTTAGAGTCTTCATCCATCCAGCCATCCTTTTTCCGATCCGCTTATCCTCACAAGGGTCGCGGATGTTGCTGGAGCCTATCCTAGCCGTCTTCGGGCAGTAGGCAGGGGACACCCTGAACCGGTTGCCAGCCAATCGCAGGGCACACAGAGACGAACAACCATCCACACTCACAATCACACCTCGGGACAATTTATAGTCTTCAATGAACCTAAAATGCACATTTATGGAACATGGAAGAATGCCAGAGCCCATGATGATGAAAACACGCATAGGCATGGTGAGGACATGCAAACTCCATTCACGAAGACCAGAGCGGAGATTCGAACCCGACCTGCAGAACTGTGAGTGAGACTTGAACCACAACTGCACTCCGCTGTCAATTTGCTATTTTTCTTTTTTTTGGCAAACTGGGTTACGTCCAGGAATGAGGAATAGAATCCACTTGTGTATTGATTAGCGCTGTCTTTTTGAAAAACCCATCCCCCTTGTGTAAAACTGCACTCTCTATATTACGTTAGCAGGGTGTGGAAGAAACCGTAAAACTGACTTGCAGACGATGTAAGATGCTCACCCAGCACCATTGTTGGCAATAAAAGAGTAACCCCATGACATTAACTACTACTCTTTGTTATAATGCAGTCATTTAAAACATTACAAATAAAAATTGAATTAAAAGGGCACATGTAAAGGAAATTTGACTTTTGATTTACTTGTCAGTGTATTAGTGTGGAGGGTACGCCCATCTGCAATTTTACCAAAAAGGTAACGCCCACCCCTTTTGATGAATGAATGTTAGGGTTTGCCCATTACCGCGTAATGGCGGCAGTGCTTTGCAAAGTTGGATGATTTCCCATAAAGGACAAAATTCTTCTCCTGCTGCTTTAATTTCAATCACCTAAACCCAGGTTTACTTTGCAATGAATTGTCTATCATGTGTAGACCTCCAAAAAGAAGTCTCTTGAACCGAGAGAATTGGCAAAAAATACACAGGGAGTCTTTCATTTTGCTTTGTTGCAGGCATTTTAACATTGCATCGGCAACACTTAAAAAACAAACAAACAAACAAACAAAACAGACCCACGTCCGGACTTAGCAAAAGTATAAGGTTGTGAAAATATATTCAACTGAGCAAATCTTCCCAACAGTGACAAAATGTGACAAATGTTGGAGGAAACTTGTCCATCACCGCCCAGGGCCTAACAGTAACATGCAGACAGCCCATCAACTTGTCGAGGTTTATTTGTGTGTGGCTTGGTGAAATAAAGGAACAGAATGCTGAAGAACATGCCTTCTCCAAGCTTTTGATCTGCTCCTCGAGGGTGGGTGTCTGACTGCGCACCATGAAACCGTTCTTGGCACCACAACGACAGCACGATACCGGATTGGCAACGCCACAAACTCCTCTGCGGCGCTCGCTTCTGAGGCTCCTGTGGAGTTACCACCCAGCACTTCCAGCATATGCTTTTCACAGTATTACGCAACCTTTAATTCCCGCCCATCACTCGGCTTGCCATTTTGTACCAACAGAATTCAATTTGAGGAATGAATCGGGGATCATCGGCAGTTAAATTCAGAGTCAATATTTCCTCCCAGGGAGGATGAATCTTCATTAAAAACTTGCCGAGTTAAGACTGCGGAACAAATTTAAGATGATATTTCACTTTGTGTAATCATTCCACGAGCACACTTGCCCGCTTGATTCACTTTGCGCCATTGTTTAAGGCTTAATATTTCGAGAAAGCAGTCCAGTGTATTACGGGAGTCAGCTGCTTCAGCAACAACCCCGCAGTGACCTGCTTTGAATTCATAGTCAGCTCGCCTCCCTTAAGAGAAACGGGCAATAAAAGAGAGAACAAAGTGAGTTAGGTGCTGAATATGAGAAGAAATAGAAAGACCAAGGGGTTGATTTCTGCTTTTCAATCTATCACGCCTGGTAAACACCGTGGCCTTGAACACTTTCTTTCTCGGTACATTTCCAGCAGATTGCTATCTATCATGAGCTGACCCAGGATGCTATCCTCTCACTGCGATAAAGTGAAATTACTTCCGTTAAAGCACACACACAAGTTGGAAAAACATCACATAAGTGGATGTGTCTGCTGTCCAAACAGAAACAACCAGTTGGCTGCCGAGACCTGTTTCATCGTAAGAGACTGTGCTAGCATCAAAGTAGACTCTACTGGAAAGTTTGCCGAATTGGACGGTAGCAGATAATACCAAGATTTTGAGAGTTGGATTTGGGTTATACTCCATCAAGTCTGTAGACTGTTTTGGGCTGGTTGCAGAAAAGTTTTGGGGTAGGAGAGATTATGTTGCGAGAGAACTGAATTTTGTGGCATGCTTGCAGACTATGATAGGATGTTCGCACAGTGATTTGGGATTGTGGCAGACTATGGTAGGATGGTCTGACCAGGCTGCTGGACTTTGGTAGTGACGGACTAGTACTATAAATTATGGAGACTATGGTCGAGTTCTTCATACAGACAACTGTACTACAATTTTGACAGAGAATTTTTAGACCTTGATGGCATAGTCACAGACCACCAATTGCCGATGACTGTCAGAGTGGTCAGAGTCGGTTTTAGAACCTGGTTGAACACTTTTGGACAACATTAAGGTGGCAGACATTATGTTGCAAGACAAGAGAGATGATATTCTATGATGAGAGACAGGTGACAACCAGCACACTAGCATAGCACATGCAAAACATGCGGCGGTGAGGAAAACATTTCTGGTTCATGCAAACAATTGTGAAATGTCCAAAACAAAAATGATTGAGAATATCGTCTATTCAAGAAAGCAATTTTGGAGCTTCTGAATGAGCTAAGAAATGAGTTAGAGACAGGCACGAGAAAACACTCCTCTCCATTCTGCATTTCCTTGCAGCGTGTCATTTTATTTCCGGACACTGAGACAGTGCTGGTCTCTCCTGGAGCAATTTTCCAGGAGTGCCGCACCAAGGATGAGCAGATACATCCAACTTACACGCACTATGGGCAAGGTAAATCAAACAAAACATGACTTTTATGTGGTTGACGGCTTCCCCAAATTTATCAGAATAATCAATATTTTTTTTTTTTTGGTAACTCAATAATAGGTTAATAGGTGCTCTCAAAAGTGAGTCCTGCCAAAAGTGCAAATCATATTTTCTAAATACTTTGGTCTCTACAATTTTTATTCCTGTTGCCATTAATCAGTTCTGAATAAGGGAACACACAATTGAGAGCCCACTCTTGCAGGATTTGAGTAAAAAAAATTCAATAAAATAAAAAAAAAATAATAATAAGGCACCTGCTCTTAAGGACATTTGTAAATGAGACCCTACATTCGGATCCTTTAAAATTATATTAGGTGGGGAAAAAAAAAAAAAAAACGTCTTTTAATAATTACAGACCTTGTTAGACTGGTAGAGATCATGTGTGGATGGTTCCAGGCTACCAGTTGTTGACTGCTTGGATTTTAAAGACTATGCTGGGATGGTCCAAGAGAATTTTAGGGTGGAAGAAACTGTCGCATACTATTTGAAAAGAGTTCAGACGATATGAAGATAGGACAGATGTTTGGATGGTTTTAGATTATTTTAAATTATGACTATTAAAACGATGTTAGCGTGGTAGAGACTTTGCTGAATAATATTCAGTAAAACAAAAAACATCAAATAACAATAAAAATGTTTAATTTCAGTTTTCTTATTTTGTAAAAATGAGATGCATGGCACGGTAATCGACTGATTAGCACGCCCGCCTCACAGTGCAGAGGTGCAGGGTTCGATTCAGCTGTGGCCTTCCTGTGTGGAGTTTGCATGTTCTCCCCGTGCCTGCGTGGCTTTTCTCCGGGTACTCATGTTTCCTCCCCCATTCCAAAAACATGCATGACAGGTTAACGAACACTCTAAATTGTCCCTGGGTGTGATTGTGTGATAGTTGTTCGTCTATGTGTGCCTTGCGAGTGGCTGGCAACCAGTTCAGGGTGTCGCCCGCCTACTGCCCAAAGACGGCTGGGATAGGCTCCAGCAAGCCCGTGACCCTCGTGAGGATAAGCGGATTAGAAAATGGATGGATGGATAAAAATGAGATTATTAAATACTGTATTCGTTCGCGACTGAGTCCCAACTGCAGACAAGCCTCTCAGACATGTCGATTACTTTGGAACATTCCCCCCCAATAGATGTCATTAATCAACTTAATGAAACCCAGCGTCAATAAGACTCCTAACAAGATTTCCCCGGCAAAGTGACGGCCTGTCTGACAGCCACATGAGAAAGCCTGCTAATGGAGTCACTGCCATCCCCGTTTGATGGGGAGGATTACATCCATTGGCTGCACAATTTGGGTGACTGAGTTGATGTATGCAGAGAATGCAAAATGAATAGGGGGGAGTCCAACAGCACTGCTTTGCTCCAAGGAAGACTATATCTGAGAATAAGTAAAAAGAAAAAAAAAAGGGCAATGCTTTTTTTTTGTCTTTAATGATTTTTTTTTTTCACTACAATAATGTATTTTCTCAAGACATTGAATTTACCTGCATTGATTTTAAAAAATAAATGAATAATCTGTCATAAAGTCCGTATTTTGCTTCATAGTAGGTCTCA